GGAGCATGCGGCCGCTCTCCAGTTGAGGTAGGTCAGCGCTACATGCCTGCTAATTTTGTTCTTTTTTTCCCCACGCATTTCACACTCTGCCGGACAACCGCCCCGTTCTCTGAGAGCGCCCCGTTCTTGCATCCTCCATCCCGCCGCTGCGCCGCTGCTGCTCGCTCGCCGCGCCACAACCGGGACAACCTCGCACCGCCACCTTCATGCCACCTTTCACCAATCCCTTCTCCACTTTTCCCCGACCTCCACCACTGAGAAAATAAAGAGCACATTTTGCATATTTCTGCCTCTGGGTGCTTGTGTTCAGCCTTTCTGTGATCTCGCACATCACAGTCATATATATATATATATATATATATATATATATATATATATATATATATATATATATATATATATATATATATATATATATATATATATATATATATATATATATATATATATATATATATATATATATATATATATATATATATATATATATATATATATATATATATATACTCAAAAAATGAAAAAAAATAAAATAAAAAAAGATACTGAAGCTTGCACAGCCGGTAGAATTTGAATAGTTTGTCTACAGCACAGGTTAGGCTTTCAACAGAATCATTCTTTGCCAGAATTACATACCGGGCTCCATGTCCTAGAGAACTAATGGAAACTAACTGCGGCTGAGTTGACTTCAGAGACCCTTTCATAGATTCACTGAGCAAGGAGGTCACGCTGGTACCAGCCTACAGAAATGAAACCGTGAAAAGCATCAGAAAATGTTGCTGCATGAAAAATAACTTTGTTTATTGAAAGCTAACATAGTAACAAAGCATACCGGCACCAACTCCAACAGGTGTGAGACAGCAGATTTCACACAGCATTTACTGCTGGCAACACTTCTTCCAGATGCTGTGGGTGGAAGCAGATGAATGAGGATATTTAACATAGTGTAGCACAGCTCATCTTGACGATGTAAAGATGCAGGACACATGCAAAAGATCAATTTAACACAAAATTCTATTTGATTTGATTTCTTTTATTTCATGAATTGAATGTTAAAACTTTGTCATTTTCTCATGTAAACCACATTTAGAAATGAATGCACATGCACATAACTCATAAATGAATAATGGAAAAACATCCTTAAATGTCCCTTATTTTTGCCAAATGGGACTTTAATCCTTAATAAGGAGAACAATGACACAATCTCCTTTGCTAGTGCCAGCTTTTCTGTACTTAAAAAAATAAGTTCAATAAAAGCAGAAAGTTGTAGAAATGCTTAGACCACAAATATTGACACAAAAAATGTTAGACTGCGTTATTGGACAGTGTTTATAAAACTTATGAGTGTGAAAATTACACTTTGCAGCTGTGTCTTTGCCTCTTCATTTTCTCTAAGGGCCTTTTCCTCAGGAAATGTCAGCAGGCCACTTGTGGTGCCAATCTTGGATACATCTACAGAATTACACTAAGAAATGACAAAAACATCTTTAGGTGTAAATGTTTACATTGACTATTACGAATATGAAAAGTGAAATACAGTAAAGATTTACCGGTAATGATTGAACACTTCCTTCTAATGGATCCTGGGTGATATCCACTATGTAATATATTTGGATGTTTTCCAGCTCCCACACTTCTGCGTTCACATCAGTGTCATGGCCTTTATTTAGCCCACAGATAGTCGGTGAAAATTTGGCTTTGTTTAGTCTGTCTGATTTGGTTCATGTTTATCCCAAGATGGACGTCTGTTTCAGACCACATATAGCCCTAATACAGTCATGAAAATAAGATCACATTGCAGCAAGTGGGGAATTAGGCTGTATCTCAATGAAAACTACACACAAATTAGTCTATCTGAACATTTTTGAACATAATCACTGCTTATATATATGTGTATGTGTATATGTATACATATACCCTGAAAATAGAGGTACCTTGTTGAAAATGGCTGTAATTCCTAAATGGTAAATGCCATATTTTTGTGGAACCTCTTAAAATAAAGCTGAAAGTCTACACTTCAATCACATCTTGATTGTTTTATTTCAAATCCATTGTGGTGGTGTATAAAGACTAAATCAAAGGCTAAATCAATCTATATATATATTTTATTACTAATTTCGTTGTATACAGAGTTTGAGAATAAAGGCTTTCAAATATATATATATATATATATATATATATATATATATATAATAATAATAATAATAATACATTTTATTTATAAAGCACTTTACATTTTAAAGAAAATCTCAAAGTGCTACAGAAAAGAGTCATAATATATACAGCAATTAAAACCAGCTGCCAACTGAGATTAGCACAGAAATTTAAACTCTAAATATTAAAAGACTTTTTAAAAAGTGTCTTTATATAATTTTTTAAAATTAATTTAATTAATTCCGAAGTTACAGCCTGTTCAGTATGAAATTCCCCATTTTTGTTTCACTGGCTTATCCAGCTGAAATCTGATTGGCCCTTGAAGTGTCCCGTCCTGTCATCGCTTATTACGTCAGAGCACCCCCATTGGCTGAGTGGGTTCGTTTGAAATTTAACCCGCGTTTAACTGTTTGTATTTTTTTTCTACCGCATCTCGTAACGGCTGCTGCTCAGACAGTGCGTTTACATCATCTTCGTCCACTTAAGCCTCAATGGTAAGTACCTTCTCAACACTTTAAGTAATATCTGAAAGGACATTAGTGTTGCTGTCACTTACCTTCTTCTTGTCTAACGTCAGGAAGCTAGTTAGCTACAACAACACACTAGTCCCATATTCCTTGCACTGACTTACAGTCTAATGGGGAGTGTTAGAGCGACTGAGCGCCGATGACGTCTTAATTGCTCCTATTGGTCGGTTTTTAGTGTTCTAGAACGTTGTATGCCTTATATAGTAGGCTGTGTGATACAGTGCTAAGCCATAAGCGTTTCTGGGAACAGTGCTGAGATTATTTTAAATAAATTTAATAAAATAAGAAAGACAGAGACAAGGACATGTTCACTGAAATACCTTGATTAAACGGAAGCGCTCAGTTCAGTGTGTGTGTGTGTGTTTTATTAGTTCTGTCCACATCTCGCCTGCTTGCTGCTTCTTCCCTCCGACGCTCCCATTCACTCATTGTCAGCTTTTAATGTTCATTACTTCACTACGCTTGCACATAACATTAGTTTCACCAGTCAGACTGTGCTTTCTTTATCTAGCTGGGATGACCGATTTTATCGGCAGCCGAATGAGTAGACGCCAATGTCAACATAAAGACCCACAAACAAGCAGCAACTGGCTGCAGTGAAGTCCTGGCAAAGCATCATTGACTGCAAAGGATTTTCATCCAAGTATTAAAATTATGGTTATATTTACAGTTATGTCACTTTGTCCAAATACCTTTGAGCCCCTGAAAATGGAGGTACTTTGTCGAAAATGGCTGTAATTCCTAAACGGTAAATGTAATATTTTTGTGGAACCTCTTAAAATAAAGCTGAAAGTCTATACTTCGATCACATCTTGATTGTTTTATTTCAAATCCACTGTGGTGGTGTATAAAGACTAAATCACAAAAACTCTCTCATTGTCCATATACTTCCGGACCTAACTGTGTGTGTGTGTGTGTGTGTGTGTGTGTGTGTGTGTGTGTATATATATCCATATCACTGATACCGAGTAAAAACTAATAATGCCTTTAAGCCAACAAGACAATATAAGGCAATTAAAAGACGGTATCTTTAGTATCTTTGCTACATATCTAATTATGCAGCTAGAAAAATGTATAAACTAGTAGCGAACCTAGTCAGCTTCTGAAACCCCAACAGCAGTTGGGTAAGTTAGTGTTACTAAATTAGTATTTGGTGACGCCCACAAAACTCCATAAAGTGCAAAGCTCACAGAGCTGAGATAAGGAGTAAGAGTCAAAAAACACAGTCTAAATATATTATTTAGCACCTGAAAAAGCCAAAAGCTGGAGCCAAATGACTGAAATTAGTTGAGAATTAAGTGAATGTCTGTGTGTGTGTGAGCGAGTGTGTTGACACTACACAGCTGTGTTTGTTTATAGCTTTTTCTTTCAAAGGAACCTTACAGGACATTATGGGGTAAAGTGAACGTGTGCGACAGCCTGGGAAAACCCTTCACATGATGAAATTTAAAAAAATATCTACTATGTATAGTTCTGATAACTATAGATTTTCTGAACTGAATTACTGTCTTTTTTGGCCATAAAGTATATCAATCAAAAATAAGGTTGTAGCATTTTCTATAAAATTGATTATCCATAAAAGTGAAAAAGGATAGTTAAAAGATTCCAGTCAAAATCCACATGAAAGTCATTGGCAAACTGGTTGTCTACAAGCAACTGCTATATATTGATTTAATTTAACTTTGCATTTAATTTACTGTGTCCATGCACCCAAAAACATTCCAGTAGGTAGATTAATGCCTCTAAGTTGCCTCCAGGTATGAGTGAGTGTGTGTATACATGGTTCCCCAAAAGAGACGCATCCCATCCAGGGTGTATTCCTGCTTCTCACTCAGTGTTTCTGGGATGACCGTGACCCAGATATGGATAAAACACTTACTGAAGATTGTGAGTGAGTGACAGTAAATAAGATTCAAATCCAAATTCAAATTTTATTTGTCACTCACACACACACACCCATACACAGTACAACGTGCAGTGAAATGTTTATTATGACTGTCTGTGACACAAAGTTTACATAAACCAGAATTTACTATTGTACAGGTAGAAAGGGAAAAATATAAAAAAAAGAAAGTATAGGTGGCAGCAACAGTATGACTGTATTTGGAGTAAAGTGCAGATATGTGCAAAGCAATGAACTGTACATCGGGCTGAGGTAGTTGTCGTGAAATTGCCAACATACATAATAAATATTTATAAATCTAGGGTAACCCTGGTATATTAATAGGAATGTAGGGTATACTAATATGCTAATATTGCTAATAATATGCTAGGGTATACTAAGATATACTAATAATTAATGGTATACTAATTAAGATAAACAGGGAGGACTAGTGGTTAGGCCACAGCGCTCTCTTGGCTGTGGCCCGGGTTCAATTCCCAGCCAGGGAACCAACCCCACTGGGGTTGCGTACAACAGTGCACTCTCAGTGCCAGTCCCAAGCTCGGATAAAAATTGGGGAGGGTTGCGTCAGGAAGGGCATCCTGCGTAAAAACTGTGCCAAATCAAATATGTGGACCAGTGATCCGCTGTGGCGACCCTTAACGGGAGCAGCCGAAAGAGGAACAACAGCAACAACTAATTAAGATGTACAAATAAGATATGATCATGAAAACTATGTCAATCTTTATACCAGCCTTCATGACCAATTAACATACAGGCTTCTTCGAAATTCCACCCATCTATTTACCTGCTAACCTAAGCCTGCAGGCTAGAGCCAGCAATACCTCTTTATTTGTAATTTGTAAAGCAGCATTACTGCCAAATTTTAGACTGGGAAATAGTTACCACTATGATGATCAGATTATCAAAATACTGATTAAATCAGAGATCTGGCAAAATTTCCCATCTTTTTATTAGGCAATTTTAACATGCAGAGTGTATTAAAGTGCTTTTCTATTTGGATGTTATTACAGGTACATCACACTTGACATTTTGAAAGATGGTATCTGATTACAAACTGAACTGATATGCGTATGTTCATTTTGCTCTAGCACCTAATTTTCAATAACTTGATCAAAGTGTAAAATTCATTGCATGAGATTGCGCTTATGTAGCAGACTACTTTAGGTGGACTGCATTTACTCTTGCGTTTGTTAAACTGGCTCCTTACTCAACTGACAGACAGCCAGGGCAAGAAAGTGTCCTAAATGAAAACATTTCTGTGGCACTTTGGTGGAATATATTTTGTTATATATTTCTTCTTACAGATGAATCAAAGTGTATTAATGGCAGAAAAATGTAATTTACATTTTTGGCTGTTTGCCAGAATTCAGCCACAGAAACATATGAGGGGTTTTCCAGGCCAATTTCCTACACCATAGTATGTTTTAACTGAAGGCACTACATGTTGCAAAACTGCTCTAAAACTGTTATCACGTGATTGACAATCATGCAATAATGATTGTAGTTTATCTCGGGTAGCAAAGGGACCACTATAGGGTAGTTAAGGCACAAAAGAGTCCATTATGGCAACGGCAAGAGTATTGTGGATTTTGATGGTATTAGGAATCTGAGCTTAAAATGGTTTAAATGGATCTGATCATACCTAATGATTGTGAAACTTTTCTTTTTTGGGCCTAAAGTGGCTCAACTGCTAGTTTATGTGCATATCATACCAGCGATTTGGACTTATCAAGCATAAGTTGTGTTAAATGGCAGCCAGATTTAAATAAGTTCATCACAGTCATTCCATGATGATATGTGGGTAGGAGAATGCAGCTTATCCTTGATGAGTGGTAAGTTCTAGCTTTAATTTTTAAATATGAGAGAGTGCGTTCCTGATATGTGCAATATGCAGTTATTTGGTGTATAGAAAGCTAAAGGAAAAAACTATAAATAAATGGACTATAAGTAAAAATTAATACAAAAATCAGTAATATTTAGCTTGATTTTATATTTCATAAGCTACATTGTCTTCATTCTCACTACATGATATGACAATAATGTTGTAGTACCTCAGTAGTCCACTATATACTAAACATAACACAATTTAACATCAATCCACTAAATGAGCTCTGATAATGCTTGTTTTTGTTGAATTTGGACTTTTGCCTTCAAATACACATATTAGAAAAAAATGCAGAAAAAATACTTAACACAAAAAAATTAAACCATTAAAATCCAATTAACTGTGTAGCATTTAAAATTACCATGAAAACCATTTACATGATTATTTTAGAACAACATTTTGCTCTTAGCTTTATAGAAAAACCTCTATATACAGATTCTGTATAGAAGTGGAGCTTCCCTGTCCAGTGTAAAACATTAAAAGGAGTGGAATTATTGTCACTGCAGTAAAGTGATAGTTAAAACATGACTAAATAGGGCTTAATTACTAACCCGGTAAAAGCCAATCTGTGTAGTGTCAGGGTCTCGGTCTACACATTTCCTATAGGAACAAAGGGGGAAAAAGTCCCACACACTGTGTAAACTGCCAGTTTGTATTTGATGTAGACACTAATCTTAAAATGCTTCTGTTTTTGTAGTGATGATTTTGTCATCTCAGATCAGGTCATGTCACTGAACGACTGTATACCCTAAATATAGGAAAAGCATGTGTTTGGTTTGATGAAAAGAAACCAATCATGCACACTTTACTAATTTTTGCCATGATATATATTTTTTTGCTGATTTGCATACTTTTGCTAACTCGTCACCAGATTTTTGGCATACAGTATCTTCACAAAACTGGTGTCAAAGTACTCGGAGGAGTCCTCAAAAGTCATTCAAATGAAAAAGGTTTTTAATTTAAATCACAAAGCTCTGTCGCTTCATATGCTGATCAGAGGAGAAAAGTCACTGAACTTTCAACTTTTCTGGAAACACAAAGATTCTTAGTCATTGGTATGGTATTTATTTGCATGGTATTTGGTGGACAGTACAAAGCTTTTATGACAAAGCTATGACAATGTTTTCAGGCAAAAGAAGCATTATAACGTTCATTTTCAGCAAGATTAAAGTGATTCACTACCACCATTATTTCATAAAATCTGCACAGAAATAATTATTTCTGCATTATTAGCCTCTGCTCACAGGATTTTGGTCAAAAGTTCAAAATGATCCCAGATGAGATTTTTTTGCATTTGGTAGCCCTAGGGCAGAGAGAAACCAGTAATCAGTCTAACCAACCACACTCATTTACATTTTTATCACAGTCTTCAGTTAAAAAAATTGATGGTAAGTGGTTTCTAATTTATGCTTCATTTGTAAGTAAGAAGGAGCTATTTCAAATGTAACTGAAAAAAGAATGAATGTTAAGATGATTTGTATTTGTTTGTATTTATAGTACATTAATTTATAGTTTTCTAGCCTGTTAAATATCAAACCGTTGTATTTTGCATATATCAGCAATGCACTTTCCTATATTTCAGAAATGCACTCTGTCAGTGGAATGTAAGGAAATGTCTTAAATCTGACTTCCATTAAAGATAACTTAACCTTGATGGGTCCACATCACTGGTATGATGTGTATATGAACTAGCATTTGGACCCAAATATGAAATACTTTACAATCTTTAGGGATGACCCGATCCATTTGGACCATTTTAGGCCCAATTTGGACTGTTTTAATTCCAAATGCCTTGAAAATCTAAACATGCTTGACATAGCTGAGTCTTTTTTTTTTTTTTTTTTAATTATGCCACAGTGGGCCATCTACTACAAGGGATTGATTTAGTATTGTCAGTCAGGAAGTAAGGATTTTTGCCACCATGTAGTGCCTTGTCTTGATCATGAGTTCGAATCCTGACAATGTCACAGCCATCCATGACTGGGGGGCCAAGAAAGCAAAACTGGCCATGGTCTCTGAGTGGGAGGGGTGGCATTAATCCCTCTTGCTTTCCTTTGAGTACGTTAAGCCTAGGCATGAGCGTTTCATGGAGGAAGCACGTGATAGCCTGGTTGATAGTTGGTAGGACATACTGCTCTCCGGACCTGCCTGACCCATCCTGATGTCCTAATTCTGGTTGGAGTTCTCATCGGTTGAGTTCGCTTGCTGCTGCTGGGGGTGGCCCCATATGGACGACCTGAAGAACTCTTTGGATTGCTGGGGATGGTTCCACCTTGGGGCTGGGGAGATGGTTTGGGGATCTCATATGGGGAGCTGTACTGTAATGGCTTGGGACTGCGATTGCTGTGGTGGCTTTGGGGCTGCAGTTGCCACGAGCAGCTTCGTACTCAGGACTCCATTAATGGACAGTGGATAGATTTTAACCAACCAGACTTCTTGCGAAAACTGTGGTGAATTTATTGGTTGCACATTTGCACTATTTGTCCATATAGTACACAATAACAGAAGAGATTTATTTATAATTGCACTATCTGTTGCACCCAGATGAGAATGGGTTCCCTTTTGAGCCTGGTTCCTCTCAAGGTTTCTTCCTCATATTGTCTCAGGGAGTTTTTCCTTGCCACCGTCGCCTCTGGCTTGCTCATTCGGATAAATTCACATATTTACAATATAATTTTTGAATCCATTTATTTCTGTAAAGCTGCTTTGTGACAATATCCATTGTTAAAAGTGCTATACAAATAAAATTGAATTGAATTAAAATTTAATTGAAACATGTCCAATTATTGAAACATGTCCTGCAGCTTACTGTTAGATTTCACTACTGATTTGTCTCAGAATAGCCTCTGTGTTCTAATTTCTAATTCAGCACTTATTAACTTTTCAGTACAGATTCTTACACTGATAGAAATGTCAAAAATTTGATCATGCCTTTTTTTGTAATTTTCAATTGACAAATAAGGAAAAGCTCACTTTAGAGTTAGTAAAGCTAGGATTAGGTTTAAAAAAAGGTGTGTGGTCATGATTATGATTAGAGCTTAGCACTAGAATTAAGGTTTATGTAAGGAATGTTACTACAGTCATTTATTGAAGGAAAAAAGAGACAGTGGGAGAGAGTGTTTCCTGTATGTCTTTGTTATATGGCAAAGCATTTAATTTTGTCACAGCCTCTGGATCAATGCCTAGTTTCATAAAAGCAATAAATCTACAGTATAATAGAGTTTAGAGTGATAATCATTTAGTGAAACGCTAATGTCTTTTGTGTAATGATTTGCCTGTGCAGTAAACTGAAGAAATGTAGGTAAACGAGTTACGTAAATGACGTCATGTTTCTTATTCTCGCTCTCATGTGTCTCCTTACTTACATTATACTTGTGGTTATATAACTACATAACAGTTCCTGCTTACAGGAGAAATCTTACCGCTTCAATGGTCTTTGAGGTGTGTGTATTTATGCCTAACTGTATGGCTTCCAAAGCCAAGTATTTTAACACCAAACTAGCATATAATCTGTAAGCTTACTCTGGAACAGGACATGTTCATCTTGTCTTTACTTTGGTTTGTTAATGTAAGTAAAATGTCAGTTGGTGTAGTGGTTTT